CACAGCTCTTCAGTTGGAGGGCTTAGTGTTGATGGGCCGTGTCATTTCCTCTGGGTCATCTCAACATCCTTTGGACAAAAAGTGTTGTTTATACCAACCCTGTGTTTTCCAACTTCCCCAACAATTTAAGACTCACTTAGAAAGACCACCCTTGAACTTTGGACTCATTCATAAAGTGCTCAGAAAATATTTTACCTTATAAACATCTGTTAGGATGTCAAGGGAGAAGGGATAATTTGTAGAAAAGGAGTAAGTTAGGAAAGGGTAAAAACTGGAAAAGAGTCTGGTGCTCAGGGGAAATCAGAATTCTTACGACCAGCTACCTGGTTTCTTTCCCTTAGCTCATCATAAATGCAGCAAAAAAAAAAAAAAAAAAAAAAAAAAAAAAAAAAAAGGCATAGATTTGAATGGATCAAGTATTACAGTTTCCTGGTCTAAGTTACCAAAGTAGAGCCCCTTCCTCTTCCATGAGTGGACTTTATCCTTCCTGACTCCTATCACATGCACTCCCCCACCCCCCGCCAATACCACATTGCAATAAGAAGTCTTTTTTTCTGGGGGTGGGAGACAAGGAACAAAGTAAGAAGTCAAAGTAAGCCTACACCTAAGTGTTACAGCCTCCTGAAAACCAGTCAGCGTAGACACCAACTATGTATCTCATCTTTATTTTTTTTCCAACAGAAAGAGGGCTAAGTACGATCAAATCTATGCTTTTACATGAACGAAAAAGGCATCCAGCTGCCCTCCCGCAGGCAGCTGACAGGAGGCGTGACTGTTACCTGGCATTTGGGGCCTTGCCTAGTTTTAATACCACGCTCACCCAATTGTAATGATCAGGGTGAATCTATTAATAGTCCTCCAAAACATTTTTAAACATTAGATATTTCTCACTGAATCAAATGTTGTTAGTGATATTCTGCGAAGGACAATTTGTCCACTCCCAGGCTTTCACAATCAAGAGCTGAGTTTATAAAAAGCCCTTCTTTTGAGGAGCGTGGAGCACCCCAGCCTGTGGGAAGATCGGAAGGGACGCTCCCTCACCTCCCGCCGTGATGAAGAGCTGGACAGGACTGGAGCCCTGCTCTCCTGGCTGCCCACCCTGGGACACCAATTACTCCAACCTCGTCACTTAACCCCACCTCTTAAGCATTAAAATGTTCCTCTAAACTTCCGGGTGTTTTGTGGGTAAGTTTCAGCCAAGCTAACCACTTTTCTGCAAATACTGACTTTCCCACGAATTCTTTGAAGATTACTGAGTTAGAGAGACAAAGTAGAGCTGTCTGCTTCCTGACTTTTCATGCACTAACTGCCCATTGAAATGAAAAACGTCACACACTTATACTCTGACTAACGAAATTGTGCATTTAAAATATGTACTTAAGGAATACCCCATCTGACTGTTCACTCAGAGGAAATTGGAACATGGGGGCGCATAGTGTGCAAGTCAGTGCCCAGAGGGGCGAGTTCCCAGGCCCCTTTTGCTTGGCTGGTGGGCTCAGGCGGGGGTCGGTGGGAGGCCCATCTAGCTTTCAAGAAAACCTCACTCTGTGGACTCTCAGAAATGGAGACCCATTTGGGGAGCAAAGGAGGCTTTGCAATTGCATTTTATTTTTGTGTTCTCATTAATATTGGGATGATTAATACTACACATTTGAAAAACAACGGCTTGTCAACTATTGAAACATACTTTCTAGGGTGGTCAGGTGGAGGGAACTTTAAGTGAACATTCAGGGTTTTTAAGAAGGTTTTCTCTCCACAGGCTCATGTACTTATTTCCCCTGTCATGTGGTCTGTTTTCTTTAGAGGAACAAGAAGTCAAGCCAGGTCCCTTGGTCAAATGTGTGGGTGAAGATGTGAAAAACATATGGGAAAGGGACTCCCCCAACCTCACCCAGTAGAGGGGACTGAGGTTGCTCACAGGCTCAGGGAGGTGCCCCAATGTCTCATGGTAGGTGCCCTGACCTACAGAAAGCAGAAGGTTGACAAGTTGTGGTTGTTCATTTGCCATTTATTGTTCTGCACATACACCTCATGAGCACCAGGTGGCGATGGCCTCTCACAGAGCAACACCAAGGACTTCAAAACACACCAGTTACAAAGATTTACATTAGGACATTCACCTGCCCTCTCCCAGAAACCCACCCCCACTCAAATGCCAGTGACCATAGACAAGGAAAGGGGACAGGACCCTTTCTTGTACCACATGGGGCTTTCCCGCAATCTTCTCATGCACACAAACAGTGCAATACCAGGACGAATACTTTTGACCAAGTCCAAAACCACAGAGGAAAGGGATAAAACATAAAAGCACACACAACCACATATACACAATTCATCTTTAAGGGATGAGCATCTGACGGAGTCTGTCATCCCTGGAGACTCAGGGAGGGAGGAACTGGGCTGCTGGTGCTAAGACGATTAAAGGAAAGGCAGGGAAGTCCCTGCATGGGCCAGGGAGCTCAGCAGGGCTTCCGGTGGGGACACTCCTGTGTCAAAGTGGCAGAGGCACAGGGCCTCTGCTGGCACGGTCGCCACTGAACCCAAGACTGTACCTTTCCAAGTTGGCTCAAGAGAAAGGGCAAAGGAATGCCTCCCGCCTTGCCTGGTTGGCAGTGTCAGAAAGGAAGCTCAAGATTCTTTCTGCCCAGACGTCCCACAAGCAGATGAGGATGAGGTAGCCCCTGCTGAGCATCCTCAGAGAGGAAGAGAAACGGGGCACAGACACAATCAGCATCTCGGGGGGAAAGGCTTGAAGGCATGAAGACTCATTCTCAAAGTGGTATTGCCCTGGCATACAGCCTGCCTTGTGCACTCTCTGGGTCCCCTTTCGCACGCATACCTTCATGTGCCTGATGCAGAAAATCAGCTTCTCCCCTTTGCCCGTTGCCAGTTGCCAAAGCATGTCTTCTTTCTTCCCCACCTCCTACGGCACAGTTGTGTTTCTACCCACTGACCCTCCATCTCATTCCTCATCACTGTGGGTCACATGCCCAGCAGACGCTTGACAAGGGTAAAGGCGGAGATGGTAGTGACCTACAGTGAGGCTCTCTGATCATCCCTGGGACGCGGTGGCCTGGCAAGGGCACAGGGCATGACATCAAACACTGCAAGGGTGTCTTTCCCAATAAGTTTGAACGTCTCTTTCCCAGCTGTGGCAGGAAATTACTCTGCGGTGCAGCGAGCTCAGGACTGACCTCCGGTTTGCTGGTGAGATAAACGGCTGCCGACCGATGGGAGAGACGGGAACCAAAATGGCAGACATAATTGTTCCTATCAGAGGTCCCTCTCCTGGAGCCTGTAACGTCCCTATAGCCATTTGGAAAAGGAGGAAAGGCTCAGCACCAGCATGCCCCCAAGAACTGGGTGATACTCAGGTAAATCCACTGGTCACATGAACGGCAAAGCGGCTGCATGCTGAAAAGCAGGCAGCTCCAAAGCTCTCAGGAAACCTTGGTTTCTGGGTCTCATTTAAGTACCATTTTTGAAGGTTCTTTTGTTTCCATTTCTCTAGCATCAAAAACCTTCCAAATATTATGAAATATATATGCATATATATACGTCAGACCCCCAAAACATGAGGTATATAATTCAAATTAGTATCCAGAGGAACTTCCCCCAAACATATAGTTCAAAGAACCCACTTTCAAAGCAGGAATTGGGTTTCCCTTCTTGATCCCCCTTCTCTCCTCCCTGACCCTCGATTCATTCCTTAGCAGGAGCCAGAGGCAAGAGGAACGATGGGGAAGAGATAGGCAGGGTCTTGGGACACAACCCAGATGTAGGTTGGACTAGACCACAAAGTGGTCCTAACCCTGTTGGATGAGCCAAAGAGGCTCCCTCCATGCTCGGCCAATCTGTAATAGACGAGGGAGAGGAGGAGCCCAGCACCACCCCTGGGCTCTAATTAACAAATGTGCATTGGCCCAGATTGAAGCTCTCAGAAAAACAAAGCTGGATGAAGACTGGCTCAGATCCAATCTTGAAAGACACAGAAAAATGGGTCCGTCCAGCCCTCACCTTACACATCTCCCCAGATGCAGTCCCGACTCTATCAGGGTCCGAGGTTACCATGGGATGGGTTGGCAAAGGGTGAGAGAAGGCAAGGGGACACAGCCTGGCTGTCTGATCCCCATCGGAACTGGGGTTTGACATCTCGCAAAACAGACTGTGAGAACGCGATGGGACTCTCCACCAACCTGGACCAGCCGTGCGCATGTGCACACACACGAACGTGCACACACATGCGCACCCACACCACACACATGCACACGCACAGGAGGCACAGAGCCTGGCTCAGGCTCTGTTCACAGTGACTTGATGAAACTCATGGAGTCTTTGAGCTGGTATGGGACGCGTGGGGAAGAAGGCTGCGGGCTCCTCTCCCTGAGGACAGTGCAGGTGCTCGGTGGGATGCCGGCTCTGGTCCGATCCGAGAGTGGCTGGAAGCATCACGGGATGTCACCCGGAGAGGGATCCCAGAGCCCATCCATCTGCATGAGAGAAGCAAATGCCTCTGTGGGCCAGTCAATGGTGTGAGGAGGAAGGAGGGCCCAGAGAAGCTAAGGACTCTTGTGAGAGCCGAGTGTGCTCCCAGAGGCCTTTGCTTCCCAGACCCTCTTGGCAAGAAGTGCTTCCTCGCTCTGCACCAAGGCATTGATTTCTGATGTCACAGCAGTTTAGCGGTTCACCCCTTTGCTCCCCAACCTTGCACAGTGAGAGCTCCTCACCTCCAAGGGAGGAGAGAAAAACAGAAACTCCACTTTTGGACGTGGAAGCAGCAAGAAGCCAGCGGAGGCAGTGAGCCTCAGGCTTCACAAGGCCAGGGTACAGAGTGCCCGTGCACTCTCCATACCCTAAGTGTGCTGACCATGCCCCCGCTTTAGGGGGTGAGGGGCGGTGTTCTCGCCTACCCAGCACCGAAAACTCCATAGGAACAGACCAGGGATGGCCTTCATCCCATGTCCCTTTTGTGATGGATGAGATTAGGAATGATGTCCCCTTGTTCAGTCTGGCTCCCCGTTGCTGCTGGGAGGGTTCGGGGATGGAGACAGGACAGGAGGGGAGATGAGGGAGTTGGGAGGGCAGGGAACCAACTTCTACCTTGAGTCTCCCCATTTCCTGCCCTGTGGTCCCCACAACCCCTCTTCCCCAAAGCCCTTCCAGCTCAGTCCTTCTCCTGGGCAGTGCTGTCCTCGGAGATACCCTGGGCGGCCAGTTCAGCCAGCACATTATCCAGGTAATTGGCATCTGGGTAGCCATGGCCAGTGAGATTAGAGCCAAACTCGGTCTTGTGGTGGACCTCGTTCCAGATGACGGTGTCTGACTCGCCCGTCGTGCTGGAGGTACCAATGGCAAAAATGAGGCGGCGATCCCAGGCCACCAGCAGCAGCTTCAGGACCTACGGGACACAAGGCAGAGATCAAAGTGAGACACGGGCTGTTGGCCTGAGACTCTCCGTTGCAGGGGAGGCAGTCCTGCCACGGGCCCCACGCCTTCCTGCAGAGCGAAGCCCTCGGTGAGGGGACCATTTGGGTGTGGAGTCAGGGACCCGCAGGTCAGTCTTGGCTCTGTCACTGCCTGACGGTGTGACCTTGGAAAAGTTACACCACCTCTTGGAGACTTCATTTCCTTATTTAGAAAGCGGAACTGGTACGGTCTGCCTCTAAAAGCTGTGAGTAGTTTAGCAGGTGCTACATGAACAAGACTTGAAGAGTGGTGTGTGGTACGCACTAGTCAACAAACGTTAGCTGCCAACGTCACAGCTGCATTTTAAAAGGACCTAGGAGTGCACTTCTGACCCGAGACCTTCTGAAGCTGTGCCTGCCACCCACCCCCAACTGCAAGTGGCATTAATTGACTCACAGCTAACGTTGTGGAATATTTCTGCAATGGCAAAGCTGAAGTGCTCTGACCCCTTCGAGGCCATTTCATACTTATTTGCTCATCTGGCCCTTGCGACCACATTTGAGTGAGGCCTGGCAGGTGTTATTATTGTCTCTATTTTACAAGGGAGGACCAGAGAGGTGTTAGGGCTTGCAGAGTGTTCTAATTCAGCTAAAATTAAAACTATATATTTCTTTTTTGACCAAGACAAATATCTAACCCCCTGTCCGGCATGGAGAAAATTCCTGACAAAAATGCATTGGGTTCAACACTGAATGGATGTAAACACGGCGCGGGCTGGAGGTGGGGAATAATAAGAGTAGTCATAATAATAATAGCAGACAATAAAATGATGAGCTACCATTCCCTGCTTCAGAGCACCAAGCTTACAGATGTTGCCATTGACATTGGTCCCAGGACCAGCTGTTAAGCAGCAACGTTCTAAAGGAAGGATTCTAAAACAAATGAATTATTGCAGTAATATCCAGGTGAGGAAAAAAACAAAACAAAGTCCTGCCCCTATCATCCTACAAAAAAATTTTTAATCATGTCCACCCTTACCTTTGGTTGACTCAACTATGACCTTACTCCCACAGGCATCAAGAGTTAAGAGAGACCCAGTTCTTTTTACCCTGTGTATTGTTTTGGGAGCAAAACTTGAGTCCCTAACATAGAAGTACATAGCCCGACAGCCTGGCTCTTACTTTTCTCCCTTTCTCGCTGTCTGGAAGGTAACAGTGTCGCGGGAAGCCACGGGCGCTGAAGCTTTTCCCAGGATTTGGGTGCTCTGGCCCCTGAAAGCAAAGAAAAAAAAAAGGGCATTTTTCCACATATTTCTGAGGAGGGGATGCGCGCTGTGACCAATGCAAATAATGAGGACAATAGTAATGGCCGTAGAGTCTAGGCGGAGAACAGACCCCAAAAAGCAGCAGGAGTGGAGCCCTCAGACCCGGGCTTGGCCCCAGGCTGCAGCCTCCCAGCCGTGTTAGCTGAAGCCTTCTCTTGGGGCCTCGGTTTCCCATCCATTAAACAGGACGGATGTGGGATTCTCATCTTTGGCGACTATTAAGAATGTTAAGTGAGCATGGTGCCTGCTTGCTTACTAAGAGCTCAGTAAATGTTTAGCATCACCACCATCGTCTATTCTGACTGTTTTGTTTTACAAAAGAAGACTACAGCCCTCGGAGGCAAATGACTTCCGGAATTAATGGCTTTGCTCAAACTTAAGCCTCGGATTTCTGAGGCACACCCTGGACTTTTTACGTCCAAACTGCTCAGAGGCTCGGAGCTCTGAGCTGTGCAAGCAGAATTATCTGAATGATTCTTGTGGATCTTCTCCCCTGTCCTCATGGCTTTTTGATTTGTTTTCTTGTTTAACAATATGGATTGGGAAATTCATGACTAAAAATATCACAACATTTCAACTGTTGTGCTCAGTCCTGTTAAGCAGGTTCAGGCCCCCGGACAGGAAAGAAACCGAAGCAGAATTTAACCAGAAACCAGGCTTCCCAGTCAGGGTCCAGAATGGGTCCACAGACCCCTTTGAGGAATTCATGAAAAGTAACAGATTTTTCTCTCAGTAACATATTTTTTACCTACACACAAATATTTGTCTATAATTTCTGAGTATCCCCAATGCCTTGGAGTCTGTGAAATCTTTTTTTAAGCCCTCTCTAGATAAAACCAATATAATATTTATAGGGCACGCTTGTCTGGGCACCGAAGATCAGTAAATGTGTCCTGGCTGAAGAAATGAATGAGCAAATGAATGTATGAATGAATGACAAAACTGTAAGAATGCACAGATTTTTCATTTTCTTTATTATATGCAATGATTCCAAAATGATTTTAAAATTCTGGGGTTTAGTGGGTTTTGTTTGTTTGTTTGTTTGTTTGTTTGTTTTTAATAGCATGGTTCAGGATCACCTATGACTGCAAACTGGACGGCACTGTAAGTGCAATGGGGACTCAGAGAGGGGAAAGGTCACTGCCAGCTGACAGAGCAACAGTGACTCCTTGGAGATGCAGGACTGAAGTGTCCTGAATTTCCTATTCGTATGAAATCTCTCCACATGTGCAACACATATCCCTGTGGCCACGGCTGTTTCTAAGCCAGGTTGCTGCCCTGAAGGGCTAGCTCCCACCATGGCGCTGCCTGCCCCTCTGCTGCCTAGGACGCGCCAGGGTGCACCTGGCAGGGCCGCAGATCGGCTGGCGCTGACCCAGCCAGGCTGCATGCTCCTGGCGCATTGTTAAGCGAAGCAGTCACGCAGTCACGACTTGGCCTCAGAGTTCCTACCCCAGGGAACCGTTCCCTGCAGTGAAGGCCGAGCTTAAAGGTCTCAACTCCTCACAGAAGCCCAAGCTTCCACAGGCTGAGAAAGGGCAATAAGATCAGGAGCTGAACGGGAGAGGCCCCCGAATAAATATTTCCTTATGGCCCTTCAACACCCCCACTTCCTCTCCTCTGAGGCTTTTTGGTCTCCTCCTCCTAAAGCCTCTCTTCTCCATTTCTTCCTATTGTTCAAGGCTCTACTAGTAACCACCCTGCACGAGAAAGTCTCCTCCAGGCCTCCCATGAGGCGACCGCGGCCCTCCGCCTGACCTGGACAAAGAAGACACCAACGATGATAGTGACCAGGGACTGAGCACCCTAGTGCTGTGCCCGGTACCACAACTGTGCACACAAAACCCCTCATATTAGCTTCCTGGCTGCACAGATAAGGAAACTGAATCAGGAGGGTCAGGTGGCTGTCCAAAGTCCCCCGCTAGTGAGGATCGGTCAGGAGTTGGAAGCCTCCCACAGCTTTTATCAAAGGTGCACATCCTTTTTTTGGCCCTGGTGATGCATGGTAAGTTTTTCCCTGACTGGTTGGTAAGTCCCCTGAAGAAGTACCTTTACTTTTTATTCAATTTCTTTACAAGCTATCACATCTCCCTGTTTTACTTCTTCCACATGACTTATCACTATTTGGAAATGCCTCATTTACTTCTGTTTATTTTATTATATCCCTCCTCCCACCGGAATGAGGATTTCAGGGGAGCAAGGACTGTGTCTGTTTTGCTCACCAGTGTTTCTCTAGGGCCTAGAACATGCCTGGCCCATAATCCACACTCAAACATTTGTTAAACAAAAGGAAAAATGAAAAAAATAAAAAAATTTAAAAAGCTGAGGAGGCGAGGGAAAGGGTGGACTAATAAATATTTTCTGAAGAAATGAATCCAGTGAGCACCCTAAAGCATTTAGAAAACACTTCCATGTGTGACGAAGGAACACATCTGTATTTACTGCCAGGAAAATTGTTCAATTTGTTTATTTGACCATCTTTCAAAGACTCAAAAGAGGAAAGAAATGCCTGCAAAAATCAGAGCCAAGGAATAGCTATCAAATTACAAATGCTAATACCATTTGACAAAGAAATTCCACTTCTAGAAAATTATTCTATAGACACACTCACATGCATACAAGGTTATTCATTACCGCATTATTTGTTGTAGCAAAAGATTGGACACAATCCATATGCCCATCAAATGGAGACTGTTGAATATGAATTACGGTAGCTTTACACAATGGATTATTGCACAGAGCTAAGAAAGAATGGGGAAGCTCTCTCTATGCGAACATGAAAAGATATACAGACTATATTGTTAATTGAAAAATGCAGAGTGCAGAACAATATGTCTAATATGTCCCACTTTGTGTAAAAATGGGAGGAGTGGATGCTGTCTTTGTTGCAAAGAACCTGGGACGGAGACAAAAGAGAGCAAGAACAATGGTAGAGAGTGGGGGTGAGTCCGACCCCATAGATGGGGGTCAAGAGTGGGAAGGGGACTTTTCAGAACATGTCATTGTTGCAGTCAGCTCACACTGCCGTAACAAAATACCACAAAACTGGGTGGCTTTTAAACAACAGAAGTTCATTTCTCACAGCTCTGGAGGCTGGGAAGTCCAAGATTAAGGTTCTTGGCAGATTCCGTATCTGGTGAGGCTCCACCACATAACTCATTTGGTTTCACAAACTCACAGCTGGAGAAGAATATGCTTCAGGATGAATCGTACCTTGAGTCTCACCCACATCTGGTTTAGGTGATATTTAGTGGAGACTTCGGACTTAGACTGTGAAGTTGATACTGGAATGAGTTAAGACTTTTGGATTTGTTGGGATGGGATAAATGTTTTCAAGAAGGACATGAGATTTGGAAAGGCAGGGGTGGAATGCTATAGACTGAAAGTTTGTGTCCTCCCAAAACTGGTATGTTGAAACCTAATTCCCAGCATAATGGTATTAGGAGGTAGGGGTCTTTGGTAGGTGATTAGGTTAGGAGAGTGAAGCCTTCCCAGTGCCGTGATAAGAGAGACCTTCTCCCCTTCCACCCTCGGAGGACACAGCAAGGAGACAGCCATCTATAAACCAGGAGGAGAGCCCTTACCAGACACCAAATCTGCCAGCACCATGATCTTGGACTTCCCAGCTCTTCCAGAAATAAATTTATGTTGTTTGAAAGTTACGCAGTCTGTGGCATTTTGCCACTGCTTCCTGAATAGACTAAGACAAACATTTACATACACACATTGAAAACAATAACAGTGCAGCGCCGAGGTGGGCTCACCTGAATGCCGGGGGGGATGCTGTAGATGATCCGGATGGTTTTGCAGTCCGGGTGGCCGGGCAGGGAGTGGGGGATGAGGTGGTACTCCATCTTCCCCGGAGGCTGGGTGCCTGTTTTCACCCCATAAATGGTCTTACAGGTGGGACACTGCAAACTGCCATCCTGAGGAGATAAGGCCAGAACAACCAGATTGGGAAATGACCTCAGCAATGACCTCCCCACCCCAACCCCCAAAGGTACCAGAGATAAAGGGCCTAGGGGACAAAAAGTACCCAAATGGGTAACAGACCTTAGTTGCTCCCCTCCCCTGGTGGGCTACCAAGGCCGTTTCTGTTTTCTCCAAAGGAATAGGAGGTAAATTCCACACACAGCCCCATACTCTGTACTCGGGGACTTGTGAGAGAGACCCTGTCCTTGAAGAGGAGATATGGCTTTGCACTGAACCTCAGGGCTCAGTTGGGGGTGTGATGGGGGGACTCTGGTGGCAGTGATGTAAGGGGTCACTGTTCACAGCAGAGCCTGGTGAGGTGTCTCCTGGAGGCGAGGGACAAGAGCCCACACAGTAAATTCTATTCCCAGGCTCACATGGAGAAAGGGAATGAGAGGAGGGAAGACGTGAGTGGGCCGTGAGCAACGTGTGTGAAAGACGCTGTCACACAGCTGGGGCCAAAGCTCGGCAGGACACCCGCCATCTCATCAGGAAGGAAGGCAGGGATCCTCTGTGGAGCTATTTAGGGACATTTCAGTTCACGCTCTGCTCATTTAAAGGCATCGCTTGTATTCAGGGCAATTACTCCACGTGATCAAGGAAAGGGAAGCCACGGCTTAGGGTCAGGAAGCCAGGTCCCACTCTCTGCTCTGGCCTTAACGTGCTTCATAACCTTGGGTGACTCACTCCACTTCTCTCTGGGCCCTTTTCTCTCCTCTTTTGTGTAAAGAAAATGAAAAAAAAAAAAAAAACAAACAACAACCATACTTCAAAGTATTAGAGTCAAAGAGAATAAAAGGTAGTGCCTAAAGAAACATTTTAAAAGCTCCATGGAAATAAATGCAAAGAGGTACTAGATTATTCTTGAATACAGTCATCAAAAAAGGGAATGAGTATGTTAACAAACCCCTTTAAACCCAAAACAACCTCTGGAAATGCAAAGTCCCAATGAAACCTTTTACTTTAGGGTCAGGAAGGAGAGCACAGGGTCCACGTATGCATCATCCATCAATGATTGAACATGCACTTTCCTGAGACACTGAGAAACATCCCCAGTGCTTCGGGAAATCCAATCATAGGGATGCGTAAAGATGAAGGGAAAAATTATAGCCATGATTAATACAAAGGAGATATCAATTTAAGTTACAATAGTAATTAACACCCTATAAAGTAGGTATTGTTTTATCTCCATCTTCCAGATAGAAAATGAAATCTCGGAGTTGAAAATCTTGCCTGAGGTCATTCGGCTACTAAGCCTGGGTTCAATTTTGGGTCAGCTTCCTCTCTTGCCTCTACTCTTTCCCACAACAAGGGAACCACACAGCAGCCCCCCCGAAAGCCAGACATTTATTTGGGATGAGTAAGAGGTCGGAGGAGATCAGGGAAATCTCACACTCTGAAGCAATCCAAGCTGGGCCTGGAGAAATGTGTAGGTTCAAATTCATGGAGATAGGAGAGGGAGGTTATTCAAGGTACAGGGAAGAATATTAGAAAAACCAACCCAACTTAGAAAAAGCTGGGACATTGTAAGGAGAGAGTTTTCATTCAAGGACATTCCCAGAGTCCCAGAAACCAGCTCTAACCCGGGAATACCACACTGCGGTCAGTAATGGACAAGAAGAGCATCTCAGCTTCCCCCTCCAGCAGGGGGATCTGAAGGGATTACCAGGTACGCCTTGGCAACAGTCCCAAATGCCTTTGTAGGGGCAATCAGGGGTGTTTTGAAAATATCCAGAGAAAATGAATTATAACAGGAAGAAGGATAGATGACTGGGAAACCCATCTCTGTCAGTGTGAATGAACGCTCACCATGTGCCCAGTGCTGTGATGAGCACTTCCTTCTCCCTCACGGATGTGGGCCCACTTCACCCAGCAAAGGGCCATGACAATGGACCTCTCCTCTCAAAAACCTCAGGGACAGAAGTCTATACCTCTCAGACCACCATGCCTCATGTAGCGATTGGGGGAGGTGGGGGCGGCGTTGGGTAGCAGAGCCCAAAGGAAAGGTAAAGACAGGTTTCTCCGCATTATAATTTTGTGGAGGACGGGCCCTGCTGAGAACAGCCAGGATTACCACTCCTGCTTCCCCAGGATGCCTTTCAGGCCCCAGATCCCCCAGGTGCAACTCCAACAGGGCCTTCCGGCTCTTGCTCCTCCAGGGCCCAGGGCGGGCGGTGGCGGCAGCCCCATGTGCTGGCACTCACCTTGTTGCCGTTGTTGTACATGGCAACCAGGCAGTAGATGTGGTAGATGTGGCCGCACCTGGACAGCTTTCCCACCAGGTCAGGCTTGACCGTTGGCTGCGGGCCCTTGTAGCCTGAGGGGGCTGTGAGGCGCTCCATACAGATGGTGCAGTCCTGGGGGTGGCAGGGGACAAAGCAGAGAGGCTGTCAAGCCTCCCCCAGCCTGGGCGGCTGCAGCATCCCCACGCCGGTTCCCAAACCGTCAGAAGACGTCAGGCAAGCTGTCGCTGCACCTCTTCTAGGAAGCCCACAAACTAGGGTAGCCGTGCCTTCGGGAATCTAAATATAGTTGTGTCTTGCTTCACGCAACAGGAAAATTCCTGAAATAACTCCTGGTGTCAGTGTATGTTAACTTGGGTTGGTCAACAAAATTACAGTCTCCTTGAGGGCTGTGACGATGCAGCATCCTTCCTGGGTGTCCTTCAATGGCTTGTGGAGGAAACAAATGCTTCCTGACAGCCCCATGGATGAGCTTTATTTCAGCTGACTTTTTAAAAGAATTATACTTGTAGTACACCAGAGGGACTGCTATTTAAATAAATCTATGACAGGATGTCCCAACCTTGGCGCTCCTGGCATTAGGGGCTGGATAATTCTTTGCCGCAGTGGCTGTCCTGGGCATTGGAGGGTGTTTAACAGCATCCCTGGCCCCCACCTGCTAGATACCAGTAGCCTCTCCTCTCCCTCTCAATTGTGCAAAACTGCCTCTGGCTGAGAACCACTGATCTTCATTCAGCCCATTTTAAAGTCAGTTCCCACTGCTTATCATTCTGTTTTTCTTAAATTCAGACTGTCATGTTACGGTAGTTTAGAATCAATCCCCTCTTTGCTGTACCGGGAGGTGAGAGAGTTTAAGCTGCACCTCAGGACCACCAACCTTGGAGCCCAGGTGAGCATCCTTTCCGACCAGCTCTGTACCTGTCAGGACTTAGAAAGTGGCTCTTGCCCCATCAGCAAAGCTGGTGGGTGGTGGGGAAGGAGAGCCCGACCTTGTGCCCCCTGCACTCACCTCGTCTGGCGGGTGCCGCACTTTCTGCAGATACTTCTTCAGCACTTCCTCTGGGGTTTTACCTGTGGGGACAGGGTGATCAGAGTGCCACCGAGACTGAGACAAGGGATCAAACTGCCGCGCCAAGCTGGGAATGGCAGAGAGGAGCGTTATCAGCCAGGCTAAAAGCGAGAAAGGGGAGGAATCCATTCTGCAATGGGGTTTAAGAATTTAGAAGGGACTCAGGGGGTAGGAGAGGCAGAGAGGTGGCCTGAGGAGGTGGGAGGTGGTTCCGCCTGCCTTTACCTCCTGCATCACCTCCCTGACAGCCCCCTGGCTATTCGCAACAAAGACACTTGTTAAGGAGAAAGACTGAGTGGGTTTCTCTTCCACATAATCAAAGAGCCTGAGCCTGCCCAAACAATGCGATAAGATAGCAGAAATAAAAGCACTCTGTACACTGTTACAAGATAAAAAAAATAAAAAAATAAAAAGTTAAGTAGGCTTATCGTATTTATTTTACAACGTGCCAAGTACTGTCTCGATCTGAAATGTGGCGTCAAACTGATATTATTTTCATGGGAAGCCAGGAAGTCACGGCCACAGCTCCAGGAAGGTCTTCCCTGGTTGTCAGCGGTGTGCTCACTGCCTCCAGCTGTGGCCCCTCAGCAAGGAAAGGCTGATGCGAAGCATCCTGACAGGTGGGATGATTCTGGAATCTTCTGGGGGACTGGACCGCTTAGAGGCAGCCCAGCCTACAGGCAGGGAAATGAGACCGTGTGGCCTCCCAAGGAGGCCTAGAAGGAAAGAAGGGTCAGTGCCTTCGTGGGCGGCCCTTGTAACTTCCCTAAGCTCCTGTTTCTCACTTATAAGAGGAGGAAGAGCAGTAGCACCAAACCAGAGTAGTTTTGATAATTAAATGAGCTAATGGACATACAGCCCTTTTAGTGCATTGCCAGCTCAAGATCCCATATGGGCTATTAATAATAACAGGAAGAGTGGGAAAGTGAAAATCCTGCCATTTCCTATCAGATAATGAGCAAGGCAATTGAGTTCATTTAAGCAGAGAAATTCTAATAGACTGGAAAAGTAGGACAAGGGTTTGAGGAAGTGGACCAGGCAACAGCCCAAAGCTGGATGCCGGCCCTTCCTTCCCACTGTCCTGCTTCTTTTACAAGAATTAAACTTCCATTAACAGCCGTCGTATTATCTTATTATCTGCCAGGCCCTGGGCTAAGAGCAATGTACCTACGATCAAACGGAAACTTCAAACCACGTTTGCAAGGTGGGGGCTTAAGGGTGACAATCAGAGCATTTGGCCACCAATACCAGGGACCAGAAAGACCAGCCACAGGGTTGAGGCAGGGTCCTTTGGTACCAGGGCAGGTGCAGGTACTGACCCCTTAGCTGTGGGGTGGTGGGCAGGAAGGAAGGAGCTCCTGAAGAGGGTTCAAGTGGCCAGAGTGCCTGGAGGCTCGAGTGGGACACAAAACCGTGGCTGCTTCCCAGCTGTCACGCGTGCATTCCAGGGCATGCCTGCTGGACACTGGTTGTGACTGTTTTTACCCCAAGGTTAAGGTGAGGAAACAGAGGTCCTCTGAGGTCATGACTTGCAAGTGACGAAGCTGGGATTTGAATCCAGTCTGTTTTGCTTCCAAAGCCACGGTGCCCTTTCTCTCTAACAGACTTTATCTGTGTCACACTTCACATTCTTCTGTGTTTCTGTAACTCTGCCCTGCATTGTTTTATTTCTTAAGGTTTCTCCATCTGACCCGTACACAGTCTAGTTTGGTATCATCATCAGAACAGGTATGAGCTCGGCCTGCGTAGCCCAGGCAGAAATTAAGGCACAGAGTTGGGGAGCCATGGGGGTGACCCTCAGTGGTGGAGGCAGAGCCGGGGCCGGGAGCCAAGGCTGGGACTGCCAGTCCCCCATCAGATAAGGAGGCTGATACCTTTCCTGGCTTGCTTTTTGGTGGTCTTGCGGCTTGTGTTGGAAACCCCTGGGATGGATTTTATTTCACTCTTGCTGACGGGGGGTGGGTGGAGGACCAGCTTTGGTGGCCTGGTGAGACACACAGGCAGCCCTGCTGCACTCATGAGGATCCCCGTGATACCTGGAAGGGCAGAGCATGAGTCAGGAAGGACTGGGGAGTCAGCTCCCCTACACCCCCTCAACTCCTCCCTCCCCGTAACCTCCTCTCCTCGTCTCCCCAGAGTTCTCATAACTCACGGATTCTCTGCTTACCCTCTACTTTTCCCAGAAACTGATTCATTCGTTCGTCTTCAACATCACGCTTTGCTTTTAGCAATCAAATCTTCCCAAGCTCCTCCAGCTCCTCAGACCCAACTCATGAAATTCCCGTTTGTTTATCTGAATTCTCTCTCTTTTACAAATGCTCACTACCTATTTCATTGCTTTCATTTTTCTACCTTCAGGGAGACTAGTCCAGGGTCTCTCTTACCTGCCAGGGCAGGATTGACAGGACTGGACCCATTTAGGTTCTTCACTGGGACAGTGGGGACCCTGTGGAAGGAGAGAGCAGAACGCATTATGGTTTTGACAAGTGGGACAAAATGAGCCAGTGTTGGGACCCCCAAATTTTGTTCACTGAAGCATTCCCTTTTCTTACAAAAAATAATCACCCCTACTAAAGATGCAGCAAGTGTTAAGCACCCCAGCGGGAGGCGAGAACTTCAAAACTAAGTCAGACCATGTTGCTCCTGCAATCAGAACCTCAAAACTGAGATGACTCCTCAGTTCGCTCAAAGTCCACAGCCCTGCACGTTCTGCCCATCCTCCCCAATCCTCCCCAGTCCTCCCATCTCTGTTCTTCCTTCTCTCACTCGCTTCTAGCTGCTCCCCTACATGGCAGGCACGTCCTGCCTCGGAGCCTTTGCATATGCTGTTCCCTCTGCCTGAAATGCTCTTCCACCAGATATATGCATGGCTACCTCCTATGTCTCCTTCACTCTTGGGTCACATCTTACCTTCCCAGGGAGGCTCCTAAGGCCATTGTATTTACTACTGCTACCCACTCATCCATTCTACCCTGAGAACCCCCAACCCTCTTACATAGCTGTATTTTTCTCCCTATAGAACTTACGGTCTTTTAAAATAAGTTGTTGTTTACTATCTCCCCTTCCAGAAGCTGAGCTCTACGAGGGCAAATTTCTTTGTTCACTTTGTTCAGAAGCCTGACACTAGTAGGCATTCAATGGCTATTTGCTGAAGGAATGAAAATATAAAAAAACACATTCAAACCTGGGTGGACGTCACAGTCACCTCAGAGGTTTTAAGAGAGCTAGAGCCTGAGGCTTGGTTCAGGGCCCAAGAACTTGCATTTCTGTGCTGCTTCTGCGGAGAGGACGCAGATGCAGCCAATCCACAGTCCAACATTTGGAAACCATTGCTCTAACAGCTGTCACTTCTCCTTTTCCCTGAGAAACACAAATACCAGGCAAAGCCTCCTCCTCTCTCTGTCCCTCTCCCCACAGCTCAAGCCAAGCTGGAGAGGAGACAGCGCAGCTGCTTGGGAAAGATGAGGCCTCCCACGGCGCCAACTCCTGGAAGAGTAGGGGACGTGTGGGGCTGGGTCTTGCGCCACCTTCCCGCCACCCCTTATGACTCAGGCTTCCACAGCTGGGCTTAGAGGGCGACGTGGGCTTGGAGAGGCCGATGGAGTGGGTCACAGAGGACTCCAGGAGCCAGGCAGCCTGAGAAGCTGGCAGCTCTGCCACGTGGTTAGGGTGGTGCTGGGAAAACGGGAGGAGGGAGAAAGAGCGTGCTGGTGTGTTTACTCATTTCATTTATTATTTATCTGTCCATTCATATTGAGCCAGGGACACGGCCATGAACAAGTCAGCCCATGAGCCTTCATCCAAGTATAACGGTTAACGTGCACAGGCAGAGCCCACCTCCTACCAGACGCATTCTCGCTGCCCACAATACATACATCATCCAATCCTTCCAGCCACCTATTCGAGAGGTGTTATTATTATGAACCTTATTTTAACAGGCAGCGAAGCTGAGACACAGAGAGGTTTAGCAAACCTGATAAAGATCACACAGCTACGGATCAGAATGCAGGAAATCCCACTCTAAAGCCCTGCTTTAGCCTCTCACAACGCCGTGCTCTTATGCCTATGTTCTCCCGTCACCCCACGCTGCAGAGGGAGCATGACGCCCGGAGAGGGAGGGAACAAACCCACGCCCAAGAGGCAGCGGGGCTGGCATGGACCTCAAAGCTGAGCCGTGGGCCTGCCTGTCCCCCGCATGCCCAGGGGCGATTCCCCTGCTAGGCTGAGTCTCCCATGTCACCTGCCTTCCCAGGGACCATGGCATGTGCACCAAGCCTGTGAGAAGGATGTGGAAATAACAGATGTGGAAGTGTTTGTGTCTCAGCAGGCCACCAAAGGCCACTTTTCCTCGGAAACTGTCCTCAGGATAAATCAAACTCAGATGAGGGGGAGGGGAATTCAAAACAAGGAAAGTAGGCCAAAAAAAGAGGCACAGACTAGAGTCTGGACCCTGTGACCTGCCCCATGGGGCCAGCCATCGTATGCTAGATGGGGAGTCAGGAAATCCTGCCAGTAATACCTCACAAGGTCTGCTAACTTTTCTGAGCCTCAATTTCCTTATCCGTAAACCTGTGAGGGTCTGGGGTCAGAAGATGCCAGGGAGACTTCTCGACAATTTCCCACCCCAGTACCTAAGAACTAGGAGGCAGCCCGAGTCCTGGGTTCTCTACCCACACCTGCGTTGCCTCCTTCCCTGGGCTCCGTCTGGAGAGTCTGGGAGGGGTCTGGTCTCCTGTGCCTGGCTCCTGCTCCCCACCAGGGGGCAGTGCCACCCAGACACCCCCCCTCCCGCACCTGCCTGACCCCCTCATCACTCCAAGGCCCCCACTCCCGCTGATAAATAGCTGTGATCTGGTTGACAAAAGCTACCTTTGTTCCCACAAACTGGACTGGCAGGTTTCCACACCCAATCTGCTTAACCAGGAAATATTCCAACCGGCAGAGCACACCCCCCAGGCAGCCCAAGAACTCTGGAGACGGGGCAAAGTCTGAAGAGAGGGAGGGTCTGCACTTGGGGCCCGGGACTCTTGTAATAGTGTGGGAGAAGTGAGTGTCCCTGCTATGCCAGGAAAGGGACAGCATGGCAGAAGGACTTGTCACCAGGTTCTGGGTGGCACTGGGGCTTAGGGAGGAAGGGGATATTTATTTATGAAATACAGAAGGGTATAGAGGAAGGAGCCCCTCCCCCCAAGGGGCCAGGAAGTCCGCCTTCCAGGCCAGCTGTGCAGTGGCATGTGCCTTTGGGACGGCCACACAGCCTCTCGGCTCTTGTCAACCACATCTGAGTAAACAGGGCCCCCTACATCTCTGTCCTGTGGGGCCCCTGTAAGGACAAAGGATCTTGAGAAAATACTTTGTAAATAGCCAAGCCCTATGCAAATTGGGGTGATTATTTACATTTTTGTTTCCCAACCGTAAGGAGAAGTTGGGCTTGATACAGTCTTCTCCTGCTGTAATATTGCAATTTTCTCAGATTCTTGAGGATATCAAGTGTAAAGTGTCGAGTCCTGTGCTAGACAGTGCTTAGGATTGTTGAGTTAGCAATAACTGGTCACCTCTCCCCCACCGATACCAGATAAAATGAGAACCAGGAGACCGACTGGCCCAAGGAGTCCACACCAGTCACCCCCTGTTGGGGCCCCAGCTCCATAAGCCTGAGTCCTCCTTCTAGAAGCCAGCAGCCCAATGGCAGGCGTGCTTCCACATCCTCCAGGCAACTGGGCGCAGCCAAAGCTGTCCGCTTAATCACTTGCTGGCCAACCAGGAGGCCCCTCTGCGGCCCTCATTCTCTTGCGCTGATCCCAGGATGGAGGGCGCAAGTTTTCATTTCTGTCCCTAAAATATAAAACCAAGAAAAGAGGAAAGCAAGCAAAGTGACAGAGGAGGGCAGTATAAGGCAGAAACCATGCTGAGAAGCAGTGTTTTCCTTGGAGTCTTGAGCCAACCCAGGAATCCTCAGGCAGAACAATGGTCTTGTCTCTCCAGCAACCAAGGCCTCACTGGAGATAGAGAAGCCTCCATCCTGGAGGAGAGGGCCAGAGGGGCGACTCTTGCCCTCCCCTGTACAGTCCCTCTCTCTCTTCTCTTTAGAAGCCCCCTGTTTGTGTCTCTGAATAATTCACGGGGTCTTTTGTTCCCCCCAAACCCTTCTCTCCATCCCACCTCTCCCACCCTCCCTGGTCTTCCTTTATCCGTGGGAAAGTTGCTCGAAGAGGTCATGGGCAGCGAGGGGAGGGGGACACTGGGTGACAGAAGGCCGATGGCAATACCAGACAAAGAGAATAAACACGCTAATTAAATGGCCAAGAAAGCCTGGAGCAGAAGATGGGAGCGGGGGTGAGAGAGGTGGGAAGAGGTGAAAAGAAGAGGGCTGGAAGACAGGGAGGGGCCTCCCCTGTCAGGAAAACAGAGCGGAGAAAAATCAACTTGTTTCTATAGCCCTTTTGAAACTGCACTGGCCAGCCCTCCAGCCTATTCTCTTGCTCCAATTCTACTGGCTGGCAGAGGGAATAAAGCAGAGATAAAGAGCTGCCGACGCCCTCATTGGGATTTAAAGCGATCTGGGGTTCCTTTCACTCAGCGATGGCATGGGGTCACTTGGCACTTGTCAAGGGCGCCAGAAATGAGGTAAGGCTGCTCAGCTTTGACTTCACTTCAACCACTACGTAGCGCATATTCATAAGTACCTGTGACTAAGAAAAATAAATAGCAATAGCAGCTCATTCTGACGGAACTCTTACTATGTATAAAGCATTGTGCTAAACCTACACACCAAATATATCATTTAATCATCCTGACAACCCTCTGAGGAAGGTGCTATCATTATTCCCACTTTACAGATGAGCAAACTGAAGACAGATGATGCAAAACATGCCCCCAGTTATACAGCAAGGACCTTGGGTCCAGTCTAGACAGTCAGGTTCTGGAGGCAGGGTTCTTATCCACACCAGTAATCGTGCTGAACTGTGCCAGAGGCCGCCAGGATGCTACTGTGTGAGTCTACAGAGACTGAGCGGAGGCACTGTTGAGGTACACAGTCCTTCTCCCAAATACTTCTGTCCACTCAGAGAAGCAGAGTTGCTATGAAAATCCCATGCATTTGACCAGCACCTAACCAAGTGCAAATTGCTTTTGCATAAAATGAGGAGCTGGGCCTAAGCAAAAAAAAAAAAAAAAAAAAAGGCAGTGGACTAGGAGACTAAAACCAGGTTCCAACCCCCACCCTGTAACACACAAGCTATGTGGCTCTCCTTAGAGAGTTACTTGGGAGCTAAGTGCCATGCCTGACACTTGCATCATAGGACAAGGGTATGGGATAATGCCGGGGGCGGGGGCACCTGGTAAACTGTGAAGGCGTGAACTCGCTCCGTGGAGGTTTTTGTGATGACTCCCTGGGGTAGACAGGGCAAGCATGATGATCCTCATTACACACACGAGGAAACCGTACCTTGCAAAGATTCTGCGGCGTGCCTAAATGGCAGAGGCAGGAGTAGAGGCCGGGCCTCTCAGGCTATGGTGTACCCTCCTTCTCCTCTCTTCCCAGCACCTAATCTCTATGTGCAGAGCCCACCTCTGGGCAGCCTGAATTTTACACTCATGAGTCCAACCTAACTCTAAACCATCCCTGCTGCCCGGGCTGCTGGCTTGCAGGCAGGGCCGGGCGCCTCTGTGGAAAGGGAAGCTTGGGTGGCCATGAGAGGGCAATCTCATGAGAAGCCAGGGGCTGGCAGGCAAAGGCTGCAGGCACCGCCTGGACCTGGGCCTCTCCCATTTTATGACCGAGCGGACCAAGAAGAACACACAAAGTGATACTCACAGAACATACATCATGTCGTTACAGGAGTAACTGAGGCAGTGCAGGGAATGTGCCCAGCACACAGTGAGTGCTCACTAATCTGGGTTGTTAATCCGATCTGAAGGTACCCCTCCAGGTGCCAGAGAGACCAGAGAAAAGGAACAAACTCTTATTTGGCACCTACTGTATGCCAGGCACTGTGGTGTATGCTGGACAGGGAGGGACGCGCAGAGTCAGAAAGAGTCTGGCTCGGACATCAGACTTCCTAAAGCGTGACTCCTTGTCTGTGCTGGTGACCAGCTCTGCGGCCTTGAGCCAGTGAACTTGCAGTTTCTTCATGTGTAAAATGGGATCAGGGAACCTTCACAGAGTTGCTGTGATGGATTACACGAGGAGATAGCGCCCCTAAACTGGAACGCGGCCGCAGCACAATTCGTGTTGCTGCCGTTCCTAAGGATGCGGCATCTCCTTTAGCGCTCACTGCAACCCTGCCCCGAGCATGACCGTCCTGACGGCCAGCATTTCCGGAGGAGGAAGTTAGGGCTCTGATGTTAGGGACTGCCCCCACTCAGGGCCAGTAAGAGGCAAAGGCTCAAAGAGAATCCGGAGCTCGACCCCCAAGGCCGAAGCCTCCTCATCCACCACACCAAGCTGCCTTCCACCGGCAGCCGGGGGATAGGACAAAACACAGGGAGCATAAGTCCCGGCGGCCCCTCCTCCATTTCTGACCTGATGATCAGCCACATGCTATGCCTGGTGAGTAAAGGCTCAGAGGCAGCCATGCAAGGACCTACCCAGAGGCGATCAGCACCCGGGACTGGGCGATGGCCAGCCGCTGCAGGTTGGTCCGATTCAAGGTCGCCAGGGCCACCCTTCCCGTCTTGCCATTGGCACCTGGGGGGCTGGCGGGAGACCCCGCAGCGGCCCCTGCCGGCGAGCTGGAGGCCTGTCGCTGGATCGGCTGCGGAGGGGCGGTCTTCACGGGGCCCCGAACGGTGCCCGTGCTGTCCAGTGGCTTGGCCCCAGGTCCCGGTGGTGGGGGCAGCTTGACCGCCGCGGAGGGGGGCATGTTCTTGCGGGCCGCTGGGGGCTGCATGGGCCCGGCGCTTCCGCTCACCACGGCCGCCTTGACGCTCATCACCAGGACGCACTGCGGGCAGGAGCAGGGCGGGCCAGGGGGCGAGGCGGCCGACCCCGGGCTAGACGGCCAGGACTGGGCCTTAGGCAAGGTGCCAGTGACCATGGGGTAGACGAGATCCAGACGCCGGCGGACGCGGCGCTGGCGCTGGGTCTGCCGGTTGATCTGGCCCATGGTGCTGAAGTCAATCACGTAGCTAAAGCCGATGGACGTGAGGTCGATCCAGGGGTGCTGCTTCTCATAGGCATGCTGGATGGTGATGCCCACTTCCATGTCGTAGGGCGTCCAAGAACCATTGTCGTTCTCCCACTCCCACACCACGCCCTTCCCGGGGGCCGAGGACGGGTCGTAGTAGTTCCGGCGAACTGGGCGGAGGGTCCCTGCCACAGGGGGACAGAGGGGAGGGTCAGGGTCAGCAAAGGACGAAACTGAATTGTGCTTCATTAACAGGTAAACGTTAAGTGCATCTTATTGAGTGCCCGGCGCTAGGCTGCCTATTGAGGGATCAGCTTTGAATGAGACTCATTCCTGCCTTCTAGGAGTCTGCATGACACCAGGGTGAACACAGATGAGTGACGAGGAAAGAGATGTGGCAGGCAGTGCCCGCTGCCAGGAGGAGCACCCCCTGGCTTGGAGTGGGGGCACCTTGGTCTGCAGTCAAGTTCTTTCTCTAACCAGCAAATATAGACCCTTCAGCCTCCTTGTCTCGGCTCAGGAACAGGATAATTCCTTTGCTGAGTTTTTGTGAAAATTAATTGTGAGTCATTAACTCAACGAATATGCATGTTTACACCAGTTCCTAGATTTCTCTCCCCTTGACGCACAGTGGGTATTCATAAATATTATATCCCTTCTTCCCTATCCTTCTAAATGTCCCTGCCTCTAGGGCTATGAAGGAAAAAAACAAAAACAAAAACAAAAAAAACCACACACAGGGCCGCGGAAACCAGAGGGCAGAGGAAGACTCTGCCCCCATCCAGGAAGGCTGCCCAGCAACAGTGGCCACTGAGCTCGCCTGTTCCTGTGAGAAGAGAAAGGAAGGCCAGGTGGAGAGCCCCCTCTTAAACTTCCCAGCATTGTCTTGCATCGACGACAATATTAATGGCCATAAGAATAATTTTCTATTTATTGAATGTCTTTTTTTCAAGGAGCTCAAACCCTCCTAAAGAGATCTTCTTAATTGTTACAGTCTTGCTGTGGGCGGCGGCGGGCGGGGGGGGGTCCAGACCGGGGTCATCGCAGGGGACCATACAGCGGGACTGAGCCTGCAGAGCCAGAAGGGAATGCTAAGCCTGTACCTGTTGCCTCTTTCTCCCCTACCCGCCCCAAACCTGAATTCAGACCCAGCCAGGGCTCGTTTCATGGGTATCATCATCAAGACCGTAGACTCCCAGCCCAGGGCAGGGTGGGAAGCTGGGGAGGGCCCAGGGTGGGCAGAAATGCCAAATCTGTCATCCTGAGCTCTATCCATCACAGTGGTGGGAAAAGGCTCCCCTCCTCCGGCCTCTGACCCAGCCCTCCTCCAACCCAGAGGCAGATACCAGGACTGGGGACAGAATCCCATTCAAGGGGGGAAGAAAAGGAACAATGGCTATTCAGGCCTTTTCCAGGGTCATAACCTGCCCCCCCCCACCCCATCTCCAAGCCCCTTAATGACCCAAAACATCAACATTCAGAGGCAGGAGGGAGAGACAGAACAATCCCCTATTCAGCAGCAGGATCTCTGCTGGGGGACATGGGGGTGGCTAGCAGGACAGGAGGAAGGGGGGAGGCAATAGTCCCCTGGTTTGCTTCTACTTCCTTCCTATGCAGCCAGCTTGCCGGGGAACAAAGAGCACAGACTCTGTGTCCAGCGGCAGAGGCCCCACCCCTTCCAGCTGCGTGAGGAAGCCCCAGTTTCCTCATCAGTTTGGGACCCAGGGAAGCTACTTCAAAGAGTGCATTTGAGGATGATATGAAGGAATGACTATAAAGCACTGAAATAACACCTGTCACACGGCAATAGCTCAATAAAAGTTGGTGATGATTATTGTAATTTATTTTCTATTATATGACTAAGCAGGATGGAGGAGTTGTGGGGAAAGTTTAGTTCAAGGGATGGTGTATGTTGGGCGAGGAGTAGGAGGAGGAAGAGAATGCGTATGTATAACTCCTGTTGGTACAACCTTTGTTACTTAGAAAGCACCTTCACCTATCCCAGAACATATGATCTTCGTAGCAATCCTATGAAACATCTTTAAGAGATGAGAAAAATTACATTTAGTGAGCTTAGAAGATAATATTTTATATTCTCTCCAGGGTAGCAGGGACAATGTATTGTGTTTGGCCAATTTTCACAGATGTGCGTAAAAGGCAGTTTTTTTGTTTGTTTGGTTTTGGCTTTTTTAGCAGCAGTGTTAACAATCCCAGAGACGTCCAAGAACTGCCCCAGAACGCCCGGACTGTGCCCTGGCTCTCACACACCTTTCCAGGTTTATCTCCGTCTGGTCTTTTATTGTCTCCACTCCTGACACATAGACACCCTTTTTATCCTCATGAGTCCCCTCACAGTGCCCGGACCTCTGCCACTACTACCCATCAGGTCTCTTCCACTGAAACGCTCTCCTTTGCCTTTTTGTATTGATCAAAATCCTCCTGATCATTCAGGCCCTATGCCATTTGTCATCCATTTCTTGAAAGGTTTTCCCAGCCCTGGCTGCGCCCTCAGGAAGTGTGCGGTGCACCAGCGTCTCGGCTCCTTTCGCGCCGGTGCCTTACTTGGAGGCACAGATGCCACCGTGTAGGTCTTTGCTCCCTCGTGCCTTCTGCAGTGTCTGGCAGCAGTGAGCGCTCCACAGCGTGCTGTGATTCATTGACAGCTTCTGGCTACTTTGGCATTTCATCGTTTATCTTACATCGCTGAGTGCTCACTAGCTGCTGTGAGGAATGCCAAGACCTAGGCACGCCCCAAGTAGCTTGCCGTCTAAAACCGGACAGGTGTGTGAATAACTGTGTATGAGGCAGAATAGCCACAGGAAGGGAGCCAGCCAAATGCATGTGGGCAGAAAATCTGACCACATTCTCACTGGGCTTAAATCCTTTCCGTGACGCCCCGAGTTCAGGACTGAGATCCCCTCCACCCACCAACCTCACACTAAGACACTGCCCACATTTCTGTCCCCGCCCACCAGCCTCCTTCGGTCTCTGCCCTCTGCCGTGCATGTCTGGGCCTTTTCGCAATGCCGGTGCCTCCCCCAGACGCTCTGGCAACCCTCGCTGCCCATCCTTCAGCTTCCTCTGGGCTGCCCTGACCAAGTCAAGGTTCCATTCCTGTTTTTCTTATAGCATCTATATTGATGGGCAATTACACATTTATTGTGTGATTAATTTGATGAATGTCTCCCTCCGCTGGACTCCCAACCCCACAAGAGTGGGCCTCCAGGTGCTTGCTCAGGACTGTATCCCCTATGCCTGGAATGTCTGAGGGAGCTCAATTAATATCAATTAAACATTAAATAAGGTAAGGATGGTTTGGAGAACACTTCAAGAAAGGGATGACAAATAGCACAAGATCTGAATGATAAGGTGATTTCAATAGGCAGAAATGGCAAAGGAAGGCATTTCAGTAGAAGAGACTTTGGAAATAGTCTGTGGGGGGTCCGAGAACTCTGAGAGAATTAATGAGGGTAAAAGGGACATCTCTTTGTCCGGTGTAGAGGAAAAGATAAGGCATGGAGGAAGATGAACCTGGAAAAATATGTGAGAGCCAGGGTGTAGAGGGTCTGGTTGGCCCGGCTGAGATGGGTTTTATTTGGAGGCCCTGCGGGGGCAGTGATGTTTGTGACAAGACCAGAGCCGCTCTGTTAACTGGTTCTAAGGGAGAGCTCATGAGGGTGTTGGCAGTGAAAATGAAAGGGGGGGGGGGGGGGGACTGGCAGAGGGGCCCTACAGAGAGGAAAGGGCAGGACTTGACCACAAGGAGTGAATGCTTTCCAAGGAAGGGTGCAGGATCGCCTGCCTCAGAATCTCCTGGGGTATAGTGCCCTCCAGCCCTGGGGGTCAGCGTGTCCAGGGGCCTGGCCTGGGAATCTGCATGTGAAAAAGCACCCTGCATTCTCATGGTGCCGGGCACCCTCATAAGGCTCTCAGTGACAGAATGTGTCGGGGAATCCTGAGGTCGGATCACGGGCGAGTGGTCAAAAATGGCGGCGCCAGCAACAGAGAGAGGGGCGTGGAGAGGAAGAGCTGGGTGTGGAAGGAGGAAATGTTGAATTCAGTTCAGGTTAATTACAGGCAGAAAGCAGACCTCAGAAGCAAAGTTGTGGGAAAGGAGAGATGGTAGGATTTAATTCTCAGATTATTTTCGGAGTCCATTCCATCCGGGATGGGCTAGTCCTGGACCTTTCTATAATCAGAAGCATGAACTAGATGATGTGAGGAAATCCACTTGGTCCTAAGGTGTAGGGACTGAAGGAAAAGGCCTCTAATGGGATAGTGAGAAAGGACATTTCCAGACTATGGAGGAAGAAAGAGAATCAGTTTTTCTTGGCAACTCAGACACCTGCACCCAAAGTACCCAAAATATTTCAGCTTCTGGGAAATGGGAGACAATGCTTTCTAAGAATGGCCTGGGGTTTCTAGGGCATTTCACCACATCTATGCAACACTAGGTTGAACATCTGCTGTGCCCAAGCAATCCCAACATCCCTTACCCTTGCTAGAATGTTCCACGGGGGCAGAAACATAGGTGTTTGTTATTGTGGTGCCCCATGTGCCTGGAACAGTGGCTGCATGGAGCAGGTCCTCCATACTTGTTCACCACTTACAGGAGTAGAGCCTGGGGCACCTCAGCTTTGCTATTGACTAGCTGTAAACACATTTGAACAACTCAATCTCTCACAACTTACTTCCTTTCCTATAACATGGGAACAATAAGTCTTTCATAAGATGGCTGGGAGAATTAAACCAGATAATGTGAGCAATGTGCTTGGGGCATCCTCTAATACTGTAACTGTCATGTGGTCACCATGACCTCTGCCTCCTCCGTTCCTGTGCTCACAGAGGGTGGAGGGATGGTGGCCGGGGGAGTGGGAGTGGCTAAAATCAACTTCTGTCAAACCCTTTACTCTCTCTCCACCCGACTCTCTCACCACCTGAAAAAAGACACAAAAGAGGCCCCAGTTGCACAGAAAACTCTGAGCTGGAAAGATCCCTCCCTCACACCACACTGCTTCTAAGTACATTCCGCACTGGTGGTGGTGGCCAAACCCATTCACATGCTGATCTGCAGGATGGGAAGAAAGGAGCCAGAGGAACCTAAAGCCTGTTCTTTGTTTTGCAAAGAGGACAATGAGGCCTGAGCAGTTAAGGGACTTGCTCAAGGTCACCTTGTAAGCCAGTGGATCTGGGATGGGAGCCTGAGTCACGTCTCCCCCTCCCAGTGGGGGTCTTCCCCCATCCTGCTGCCTGGGTGCATCAGAAGACACGGGGGAAAGTGAGGTTATAGTGCAGAGCTCCGGCCACTGTCCTACAGCAGGAGAGGGCCAGCCCAGGCAAAGCAATGGCTGTAGGTGGAGAGGACCCAACCACAGCTTTTGGAGGCAGCCAAGCCCCAGTTGCCTCTATCTCGCCCCATCTCTTCCTTTCTTCCAGGTTCTCTAACCCCACAGGCTTAGGGGAGACCAGCTTAGAAGGCACGTATGCTCAGACTGGGAGGCTGTCTGGGAAAGAAGGGTCCAGGGCAAACGAAGCCGGCGAGGGTGTCTGCAACCTCCGAGCCATCTCCCTGGAGACGGGCTGGATGGAGTAGGAACCCAGGAGAGCTGAGAGTCTGAGGACTCCCATGGTGGCAGGGCAGGCTACTTCTGGAAAAAAAGCACAACAAAACCCAACAGCAACAAAGCTCCCATGGCAGGAAATGTCCCCACATAGAAAGACCAAAGGAAAAAGAGAGGAATCGCCTCTACACAGGGGACTTCCAGCTCTCCTTTGTTTATGGGGATGTTTCTGGTTCCCAGCTTCAAACTATGGCTTAGGGGGGACGGTGGGTAATTTAATTAAACATTGCCAGGGCTTGGCCAAGGTTGCCTGGGAGACAGTGGTTTAAAGTTCCTACCCTGTCACGGCCTCATCAACGAGCTATATAGAGAGGGACTTGTGTCTGTTGGTGGAGAATGGAGGGAGGGGGTTCCAAGTCCCGAAACCCAGGGATCCTATTCTACTTTGACAAGCTCCCCGACAAACCCAGCATTCCTGGGATTCAGCCCAGTGCCTCCAGAACCCTGTGCAGGGCTGAGACAGACAAGAACGTGAATCGCACCCTGAGGCATGCTTTGAAATGATCCAGGGCCAGCTCTCTGCCTAAAATCTGCAGAATCCTAGCTGCTCTTCCCTGAGCACAGGCTGGCCATTGCCTGCCGCCTAGGCCTGGGCTGAAGGGACCACCCGGTGGTGGTCAGCCTGTCCTCAGGGAAGAGCGCTCAGACCTGGGAGAGGTTAGCTTCTGTCCTTCAACCCAGTTTCCTCCAGAACTTCACTTCAACAGAAAGGGCGCTTCAGGCCATGACCTTTCCTAGGGACCCTGTCTCTAAACACTGATTAAGCTGTCTCCTTTCCCAACTGTGGGACAAGGGCTGGGACCTTTAGGTCACCAGGGTGGGTCTCCTTACGCTGCAGAGATTTAGTATCAAGTAGAAAAGCCTCACACTTGCCTGTTTATGTTGCACAGGACTGGAATTCCCTGTTAGGTGTCTTAACTGCTGGTCTTCCTGGTCCCACCTCCATGGCTCAGCTGCCCCCTCTCCAGACACCTGTGCCCGGCCAGTCTGACATCTCTGCCCCCAACTCCCCCCCCCCCATCACCTCTACAGTGGACCTCTATCCAAATAGCACAATTCCATTCTCTCCCTTCCCCTCAGCCACACTTAACCCTCTTTTCTCAATCTCCCATATACTTTTCATTCCTTCTTCCTCTCAGCCCCCTGGGCTCCAACTCCCTCCCTTTCCCACCAGGGGTTAAGTACTCCCCCACCCTCATGATAACGCTTCTGGAAGCCTTTCCCTAGAAAACTTTGCTCACTCCACCAGTGTCTGCAAAGTCGTTGGCAAAAGATTGTTGGGAGTCATGACTAAAGATACCCTTTTCCCATGACAATCCTAATTAGCACACAGGATGTGGGGGCTTTCCAAGGGGGCTGAGATGCCCCGCTCCCGCAGCTGTTCTCCCGCCTGCTGGGGCGCTCCCCGTCGTCCTCGCTAGTCTCTCCAACCCCCCCCCCCCCCCCAACACCTGCCTCTCCAGGCTCCTCTTCACACTCTTGGGAAAGCTCAGCCAGAATTCCTGAAACAACCTCCACCCCCATGAGGAGACTACGGGAGACAGACTTGTCCCAAGTCATCAGCTAAGCCTGGGACACACGGGGCCGAGCAAAGGGATGCACAGCCCCGCTCTGCCCCTCTCGCCTTCGACCCGACGCCTCCCTTTCTTGCCCTGACGTGGGAAGGCTGGCCAGCTGGGAAGTGGGACTGTGGGGGCCACAGTGGCAACTTGCTTCTCAGGAGAAGACAGGAGTGCAGTGGTCGGGGAGTCCAGAGCGTCCCTCCGAGGCGACAGTTTCGGGAGGAAGCTCGGGGGCAGTTTCTGCTTAGGAATCCGCCGCCTCCTCCGCGGACAAAGGGAGCGGAGCGGCTTCCCTGCCAGGCATTCCGGAGCCGGGTCCCTCCCCCTCTCCTCTCCATCTGCTCTGGCCTGTTGCTTCAGCACTTGGAGTACGCCAGCAGCCGCCCTCGCCAACGCCACAGCGTCCAGGGAGGGGGCTTCATGCCCCGGAATCCCCCAACTCCAGTCTGCCCTCCCAGGCAGCCCGGCCTTTACCATTCGAGTCTACCGCTAGAGCCTCCGGGGAATCCCTGCCCTGCGCCCAGTCCCCACACCCAGCACCCCGCTGTGGGAAGGCGCCCCACCCAGGAGGGGCAGAAGCAGGAGTGAGGGTGATTATCAAGCGGCTGGCCCAAGGGTGCCTGGGGCAAAACAGGGTCAGCCGGTGTGTGAGCGAGGGGAGCAGGAAGCCTTTGCTCGGGGCTGGGGTTGCTGGTTGGGAGGGGGCTGCCCCAGAATCTCCTTAGGGGAGGACCTGGGCCCACCAAGTGCTTAAAAGGGGGCATAAAAGAGGAGTTGTCAGGGGCTAGAGTGCCGCTGGGTTTGCATAACAAGAACACCGACACTCACTATACGAGCGTTTATAAAGAGGGTCATGGGGAGGAAGCGCCCTCTCCACGACCACCTCTGGGTGACACCACAGCAAGGAGGTTCGGACTGGGTGGGCCCCGGTGGGCTCGCGCGGCGGAAGATCTCCGGGCAGGGAGGGGAGGCGCGCGCGGGCGGGGCAGGGGCGGTCGGCTCACCCGTGTCCTGGCGGAACTGGTTCATGGACTGCAGGTCTATGATGTAGGGCGCGAGCCGGCTGTCCACCTGGCCCAGCACGACGCTGCCCCCGGCGCGGGGGCCGGCGCGGACCACCGCCTCGATGTGGTGGCTCACGGCCGGGCTGTAGGGACGCCAGCGGCCGTGCTCGTTCAGCCATTCCCAGACCACCACCGCCGAGGCCAGGAGCATGGTGAGCCCGGGGCTGCGGCGCTGCGCTGCCCCTCTCCCGGGCTCGGCGCGCCCGTCCTCCTCCGCTTCCTTCTGCGCCGCCGCCTCCGGGCCTCGACCGCGCCCCCCGCCCCGCGCCCCGCCGCCCCGGGCAGCCTCAGCTCCGGCCCATGGGCCGCTCCCCAGCCGCGCATCCACCGGGGCCCGGAGACCGGGGCCGCCTGGCTCCGACCGCGCGCCGCTGCCGGGGTCCGCCGCTGCCGCCGCTGCTGCCGCTGCTCCTTGGAGTCGGGTGGCTTCATGCAAATGTCCGGCTCTTTGCAAGCAGGCCCCCGCCTTGCAAAGCCACCCGGCGGGCACGGCGCCGGAGCCCCGGCAGCCGCGAGCTGGCGCTGAGGGCGACGCGAGGTGCGAGCCCTCGCACCAGTTGCGCCTCGGGCTCTGCAGTCGCCCGGGTGGGATCTCGCCTCGCGCTCGCGCTCGGAATGACACGCTGTGGTCCCCTCCCTTCTTTCCCCTCCCTTCCCACCCTTGCGCCGCACGAAACGCTGTCGCCGCCTCGGCGAGAGCTCCCCCTCCCTGTGGCTCTGCTCAGTTGCTTCCAGAACGAATCGCTCCTCCCAAGCGGGTCGCTAAGGCAAATCCTTGCCTGCTGAGGGTACCCCAGTCCCTAGAGGCCGAAAAGCGACCCGCCATGACACGGTCCTGATACCGCAGCTGCCTCCAGGCCACAACTTTGCAGCCTCCCTCCCAGAAATGGAATTTTCTTCTTCTTTTTTTAAATGCAGCGTGATCAGAGTCTGCAGTGCGAGCTCTGAGACACGAAGTGTCTCCGGCTCGGTCACGCACCCGCACACTCACACTCGCGCACACACACGCGCCCACACCCCCACGCCCTGCCCGTTCGGGTGGTATTACCTCATCTTCGCGGGCATCCTTAGCTGTCAGTCAAGGATGCAGAGCCGAGCCTTGGAGCTCACTCGCCCCCTGCCGGTTCCAGGCGACGCGTGCCGGCCAATGGCCACACACTAGTTGCTGCTCAACTCCAACCAGGGTTAGGGAGACCCAGTCCAAAGGGATGCTGCAATTTGGTCAACGATGGATTTATATTGTCTATGCCCAGGGCGCATGTGCTTTTTCTGGCCCGTTTCGAGTTACTCGAATCAAGGAGACTCTTGCTAAATTGATTTATTTTGCAGGGTTTCTGTGACCAAAATAATGAGACACTAGAACACACACAAGGTATACTTGGTTATTTTGGTCTTAAGTAATTAATGCGGAAAATAATCTAAAAGGGCAGATTGCCATCAGGAATGTAAGACATTCTTTCCTGAGAATACAAACTTTGTTTTGCTGAGGTTGCAACCACACAAAACAATAAATTTATATGATCAAGATCCAGGATAGGATATGGAAAAAAATTAAAATCTATGACGTATTAGGGATTGGGACTATGAATTTTTTGAAGTAATCATTTTTCATAATACCTTACGATATTTTTGGGGGGGAAGATTTGCTTGCATATCTCATTCTTGTGCTCTCTTGAAGTTTACAGCCACTGTTAATATCATTATCGGCATTTTCCCTGTCTCTTTTGTCCTTTACCTAGCTCCTTGCAGAGTTCTAAGTGCAAAGCAAAAGAAAAAATGTCATACATCCTCCTCTTTGAGCTACCAAAAGCAGCAGGCTCGAAGATGCCCCTGAGCTTTGTTCTCGCTGGTGGTGCCCTTGCCCAGAAATCTCCACCTTCCCCCCCTTCCTGCCCGGGACCTCCAGAAACTCCAGTCTCCCAACCCAACTCAATCGATGCCATTTATTACCTAACATCAATTTGATGTAATACCTAACATCAAATTTTAGGGTGTGAAGGACAAAAGGAAAAGGAGTAAGGGATACCTCAATGAATCCTATCAAGAGCCATTATTAATCCCATTTCAAAATGACAAGACTTTGGGTTTTTATGCAATTCGTCCCAGATTACACATTTAGCCAGAGGGGAAATTGGTATTTGAACCTTAGTTGAGATCCACCCTGCCCTCCTTCCCCCGCCAAAAATATAAATAAATAAAACCCACACGTTACATGGGAAGGTATGTGGCTTTGTAAGTTTCTTGATGAAAATGAAGGAAAGGGAGAAATGAGGCCAGGGTGTCCTGGAAAACACAAGAATAGACTGGGAGAAAAAGTAATCTAAATGTTATTGAGCTAATTGTTGTTTACTTTTAATCATGAGACCAAGAGTATAAAGAAACTCTGCAAACTTTCTTGTGATCCAGGTAGGTATCGATGCAGAAACAATCAGTAACGATGTAGTGGGGTGCTGGAAGGAACAGGCAGAAAACAGCACCTGACCAGCTAAATGAGAAATCCCCAGGTGGAAAAAGATGAGGGGGTTATTAACAATTGTTAGACAGGCTGTTTGGAAGCTGAATGGGAAGCAGGAAGAAAATGGCTCTTCCCTATGTCCAGTCTGGTTTTGTTTCTGTCTTCTTGTATCTTCCATGTTAAATGTGGTGGAATATTACAAATGAACAAAAATCAATGCCTAATTCCACATGAAAGGGTTTGTATATAGCTTGATTCATTTGCAAGCAGAAACGAATGTTTAGATGCTTCACATTAGTAATCAATGACAGTTGTAAGGCATGTGTGTTTTTGATATGTTATGATAATCTGTAATTCATAATAATCTACTTGGCAATTATAATTTATAATTATGTCAATAATGATAGTAATATATTTGTATTATGTTTCTTAGATCTTCCAAGACAATCTTAATTTCAAATATTCTGTACCATGCCTGAAAAATTCAGACATTTCATTTTGGTATCCAAACTATATCTCCTAAATTGCCTTCTGTTCCCACCCCATAAGTAGTATGATAATCTTTAACCAAATGATGTGCCCAATTTGTAATTTGTGATATGGCTGGTCTGTATTGTTCAAAGCTGTAAGTTGATGATATTTCAAAAATTTCCATCACTGCTTAACATCAAATTTTAATGAAAAAACCAATTGTCTTCTTTTTCCATGGAACATTCTTGGACAAAAGTCATCCTTTGCACCCTCCACCCCCTGGTTACGTATTGTACTATAACAAATGGCCCTAAAATTAGTTGCTGAAAACAGCAACAAGCAGTTATTTTGCACACGAATCTGCAGCTTGGGAAGGGCTTAGTGAGGACAGCCAGTCTCTGCTCCACATGGAGCTCAAGGCAGCTCAGAGGTGGCTGGGAGCTGGAGCCATTTGTGGGCTTGCTCATTCACAGGTCTAGTGCTTGATGCGGGCTGTCCCCTGCCAGCTCAGCTAGGCCTGCCATGCAAGCCCCTACACACGGCCTGTCTGTGGTGCTGACTGGCTTCTTCACAGCATAGAGGTGGTGGGGTTCCAAATGAGCGTGGCCCAAGAGAAAGAGCTGGACAGAAGCTGCATTGTCTTTTTCTAAAGTTAAGTGTTTTTAAAAAAATTTTGAAATAATCATAGATCCACACTGAGTTGTAAGAAATAAGACAGAGAGATGCCATGTATCTTCTTTCCCCATGTTATTCAATGGTAACAACTTACAAAACTATACTTACAAAACTGTAGGCACTACTGATAGTGACACAGTGAAGATAAATAGTTACAATTCTGCTATTGTATTGAAACAATACAGTCATATCATATAGTATACAATACATGGTATTATATTAATTATACATAATATTAAATATATATTATACAATATACATTTTACATACAAATGTATGCAGTATAGTTTCTATCACCACAAGCATCCATAATACTGCCCTATTAGAGCCACATCCAATCCTCCCCACTACCACCTTGGCAATTACTAACATGTTCTTCAGGTCTGTAAATTTGTCAATTCAAGAATGTTATATAAATGGAATCATACAGTTTGTCACCTCTTGTGTTAATGTGGCACATTTACTGCAATTGATGAGCCAATATTAGTACATTATTATTAACTAAAGTCCATATTTTACATTAAGGTTGACTCTTGGTGTTGTATATTCTATGGGTTTTGACATGGACTCCATAGAACACATGTAGTGGTGTCTCGTTGTTGTTTTAAGTTGCAATTTTTGAAGGACATATGACATTGAGAATCTTTTTACCTGCTTATTTGCTGTATGTCTTTGATAAAATGCTTGTTAAGGTTCATTGGCCCAGCTTTTTTTAATTGGGGTGTCTGTTTTCTTATTGTTGAATTTTAAAAGTTCTTCGTATGTTTTACATAGCAGTCCTTTATAAGATGTGTCTTTCACAAATATTTTATCTCAGCCTGCGGCTTATCTTTTCCCTTATTATTTCTCTGTCTCTCTGTGTGTGTCTCTCCCTTTCAAGAGTTGGTGCTCGTGACGTCTGGCTTGCTGCAGGCGTCGCAAGGCCCGCAGTGGGAAGAGGTGCCTTAGAGGCCGGGCGCGCAGGCTCGCAGGCCTCCCTCCGTCCTCGCCCGCATCACTGCGCCGCCGCTCTGGGCGTGCGCTCCCCTCTGTGTCTCTCAGAGGGCAGGCATTTTTAATCTTAAGCACAACATAACAATTTTTTCTTTCGTGGAATATGCTTTTGTGTTGTATCTAAGAGAAGAGTCACCAAATCCAAGGTCCTCTACATTTTTCTTTGTTAACTTCTACGAATTTTATAGTTTCCGTGTTTTATACTTACATCTGTAATTCATTCTGAGTTAATTTTTGTGAAAGATGTCAAGTCTGTGTCTAGATTCATTTTTGAGATGTCCAGTTGTTCTAGCGACATTTGTGGTGAAGACTATGTTTGCTCGATTGTATTGTTTTATTCCTTTGTCAAAAATCAGTTGACTACTTTTATGGGGGTCTATTTCTGGGCTCTCTCTTCTATTCCATTGATCTACTTGTCTAGTCTTTCACTAATACTATACTGTCTTGATTACTGAAGCTTTATAGTATGTCTTGAAATTCAATAATGACAGTTCTCTAACCTTTTTCTTCTTCAATATTGTATTGGCAATTCTGGGTCTTTCGCCTTTCCTTAGAAA